CGAGGGAGGAGGAAGTCGGGTACATACCTGAGGTGTGTTGCAGCGGGTGAAATCGCTTATTCCTGAACTTTTTCAATTTTATATTGTTGTACTTTGAGTGGAACTTCGGATTTGCATTGTTGATGGACATCACTCAAGCTTGTGTAATCTATCTGATTGTTGTCAATTTGCATGTTGTATGCTAAGTTGGATCTCGCGAGGTTCATTGCAGGATTATTGAACCAGGGTTATCTTTTTATGGGAACAGGGCTACTAGGCTCAATCTCAGTCCGGTGTTTAATCTCTCTTTCTACTACTCTGCTAGGTGCCTCCCCTGCATCTTTATACTTCTAACAGCACTTTGATAGGAGGTGGGAACTCCACTTCCTCTTTCTCACCTTCGCACACGGATTTCATGAAGGCCATAAAAAGTTGGTCTACCATTTGCTGCTTCACTACATGTCTAGCGAATGCAGGTGCACTCATAGAGCATAGGAACAGGGCAGACATCAGACCAGCGTCATTGGACAGTCTTTCTTCTTATTTCCTTCGCTGTGGGACAGCCAGCACTCGTGCTCACCCATGTCCATGTCCACCTTCGCAGCTTCGCTCCAGTCTGTTCCTAGCAAGATGTCAAAGGATAGGTTGTCCTCCACTAGAAGGGTCAGGGAATGCAGTACCTTTTCTACCTTCTCTCCCATCCCTCCAAGTGAAAGTATGCCTCGATCCCCTCAACATTCTCATTAACACTCGTCGGCCTATCATCTGCCAATGTGGACACTACCGGTTCTTCCAAATTCTGCACTTTCATTCCTGGATGCAATTTCTTTATCCACTTCCTAGAGATATAACTTCTAGTCTACCCGCTGTCAATTAACGCACCTGATCTCACTCTGTTTTTAGTTCTACGTCTCCTAAAATTAGTTGCCCTTTCTCTCCTTTCTTCATTTCAGCCCGAGCTTGGTGGCGAGTGATCAATTATTCACCTATGCCTGCAAGGGATCCACGCAGATAGACCCTAGCACAAGCAATCTCCGGGCAACTACCTAGGTGTGGGCCTACATCGGCTTTTGTCATCACAGGATGTGCGCAGGAGGGTGTCTTCTCAGCCCATGCCTCTATCTGCTTATCAAAGCTCAAGCAGCTGCTACTTCTATTGGCCATCACCTTTTAGGCTTTTACAAATTGTCGCAGCTCTGGACAAAAGGGGATGATGTGCCCCGTATCCCCACACTTAAAATATTTGTCCTCATCTCTCCTCTTCCACTGCTGGGCCTTGAACACCTTCGTTGCTTTCCGGGGTTCTTCTTCTCTCCTTGCATTCGGCGGATATCTCCTAGGGCCACGAGGCTGGAAATTACTTTCGCCTCCTCCGTTGTTCGTGAGAACTTTGTTGTTCCCAAGTCTTCCACCTTGTGGGTAGGAGCTGCCTCTGCCACCTTGCGGGGAACCATAACCCCCTCCTCCCGCTTGAAGGTGGTTGAAACCCCCATTCCCCTGTGTAGCAGGGCCACAACCTCCTCAACCCCCGCCACGGCCTCCTCCTTGCCCTCCTCCGCATGCAACTACAATTGCATAATCCCCTCCCTAGACTTCTTGGTTGTCCTCCTCCATTCCGTAATCTATCTGTTCGTAGGGCAGCTCTTCTACCCCACCTTCTTCAAAGGTAACTGGCAGGCTGTCCTTTCCCTTGATGTCACCCGAGATAGTTTATCCTTCCACTTCTTTCCTTTCTCTAAATCTCGATAGAAATGATAGTTGGCTTGTTATAGGCACTTCGAGAATGTTCTGTAAGTCCTTCCCGATTCACTGGCCTTGGCATACGGCTAGGACGTCAGAGGATCAGACAGGGCTAATGCAAAATGATTCAGAAGTGGCGCAGGGGTCACACAGTGATCCTTCACCTGCAGGTACTTGTATATAGTAGCCTGCGGGTCTGCAACTGTCGCCGTTCTATATTCATAATGTTGTACTCAGTTCGTCTAGCCCTATTTTCATCTTGGAAATGGTCGAAAGGTCCCTGTAAGAAGTGTCTGTCATGGGAGAGTACCCCACCATATCTATCTCACAGCCTGCTGCCATCGCCAGCAACACCCTAGCTTGGTAGTCTATCTTTTACAGCCAGAGGTAGGTTCTAGTTGCGGCTTCCGTTGAGATCGCCATAAACACCCTAGCTTGGTAGTCTATCTTTTACAGCCTGAGGTAGGTTCTAGCTGCGGCTTCCCATTGTCGGACATTCTCATCCTTCTTACCATTGTACTTGGGGGGACACAACTTCAATGTAATCTTGTCCCTGGGGCTACTCTCTTTCCATTGGAGTCCTCTTTCTTACCTCCCTTCTGGCCTATTTCGCCATTCTCATAACCATCTCCATCATCTCCTTCATTAGGGTCTTTCTTCCCCATTCTCTTTTCAAGCTCCCCCTTGCTTGATATGCTCTCCAAACTGTATGTGTAATCCTGGTAGGTTTTATGAACCGTCATATGTGTCTGTGAAATCATGTCATTCCACTTAGCGGTCCTCTTCAACTTCCAACTCCTGTCGTAACTCTTCTTCTTTCCTTTCCATCTCTTCTTCCATTGGCTTTCTTTCCTCTTCCAATTCTCGTTTTATGCCGTCCGCCTTCTTCCTCTTTTTCTCCTCCTTCTCCTTGCTTTGTCCGCCAGCCTCTTGTCGATTTCTGCCTGCTGCTCAACGGTATATGGCTGTGTGGTTCTACCGGACTTAATGGCTATGGCCGCCTGCCTTCACAGCTTAGCGCCGCCCGGCGGGGCTCTCTGGCCCGCAGTCAACTCGCGATAGCGCACAAAAAGCCAACAGCGCTTCCACCTTCTCACGAGTGGACAATCTGTCTGAATGGCGCTGAGGCTGGGCCTTGACTTCACTTGGCCTTGGTTTGACTTGGCCTGGGCCTGACTTTGACTGGTACCGGTCGCCCGCGGCCTGTTTGCAGTTTGGAAATTTGAGACCCGGTACCTTCCGGACTTTTCTTGGAGCACTGCAGCATTTGGACTGTGGGACCGGACTTTGGGGCCAGGTACCGGTTGAATTTTGACCTGTCTGGCCGTTGGGGTATCTGACGCAACCTTTTTCTGTTTTGGCCTCCTCGGCCACATTTCGATTTGGGGACTCTGACCTTGGAACTCGTATGTGGAGTCTGCAAAGTGAAAATCCTTTCATCACTTAGTTAAAAAAAAAAAAAAAAAAAATTATCTTCTTCTGCACTCACGGCAATGGCCGCCACCCACGTCATGCAGGTAAGCCTCGCTTATATATATTCTCTAACACTACCAATACTTCTGCACACAGGTTGCACTCTCGATCTCTCAGAATGTCTTCCACCCACCCTCGCACCTCTCTCTCACACCCTCAAGCTACGACTGTGCTGCCAGGCGCCTCACCTACCCTCATGCTACTCTTGCCTCTACTTGCTCAGTCGTCGCATCAACGCACAAGACCACAGCAGCACTTCCGCATTGAGCACACAGCATAATGTTTTGACGTCCGAGAGCTGCTGGAATTCTCGTACTTGCTGTAGCTTCGATTGGTTCCAGTGTTCGGACCCACTTCCCTGTAAGCCGCTGTCGGCCTTGGACATCCGACAGGAACGGCCTTCCAGAATAAGCTGCAATCGGCAATTGCTCCAGACAGACAGACTTTCAGGGACTTCCCACCAACTTGTGTGGACCGAAGGACCTAAAAGAACTGTCGACTTCCGTACTCGCTGAATCTAACTACGGCCCTCTACAACACGACCTAACGAACCTATCAGGTGGGCTACGGTACAATGGGAAATTGGGACGCGGGGACTGGACCGGGGGTACCAAGGCTCGTGAATCCTTTCACAAAGCACGGAACACATTATAATATTATTGTAATGAGTGAGTGGCATGCAAAAGATACAGGCGGCCTACTTTTCCCGAAATTTGATTCCCAACACGAGTGGGGCCTTGGACTCTCCTTGTTCTCCATCATCTGACTGGGAGGGAGGGAGGGAGGAAAGGCTTGCTGCTGTGAAGATGCATGGGAGGGAGGGAGGGAGGAAAGGCTTGCTGCTTTGAAGATGCATACTTTATGAATTGTTTGGTCCCTTGTAGGATGCTAACGTTGTCGAGTGTTTTTGATACTTTGTTTTTTACAGGAGATCACTTGCAACTTCGGCCGAAGGTGGAGGTTTACGATCTGCGGAAAGAATCTCAAAAGGGCTATAATCTCGATGTCTCACTTTTTGAAAGGCTTGTCAGACATTCAAACTTTCCCTTTTACACACTAGAAGAGCAACGACGAATGCGGCCATGCATTGCAGATCTTGTGCGGAAGACAGTTTACCCCAAGCTCCAGGATCATCCCTCTGTCATGACTTACCCGCCTGTTCGCGGAATGGTTCATGACCTCTATTTCTGGAACCACGATCATCCTGAGAGTGGAGAAGATGAGAGCCTAGGGCACTCTAGGTCAAAGACCAATGAGTACGAAGCGGCCATGGTTGCAGGGATTGCAAAGTATTTGTTTACACAGGGATACAAGCCCAACGACATCACGATTCTGACACCATACCTCGGTCAGCTACACAAGCTAAGGTCTGTGCTGTCAAAAGTCATGTATGTGCACGTGGATGAGCAAGACGAAGAACAGTTGATAATTGCACAGCTGAGCACAGATGGAGCAGCAGCAGGAGGAGGAGGAGGAGGAGGAGGAGGAGGAGGAGGAGTTGGAAAGGAGACAAGGAACACAGCCGGTCCAGCAGGACCCAGAATTGGCAAGACAGAGGGGGAAAAGCATAGTGGAGGCCAGGCTCATTTAGTCACTGGAACTACCCTTATCTCAACAAGACCTCTGAGAGACTCCGTTTGTATCGCAACAATCGACAAGTATGCAGTTTCTTTCTGTTGAGTCTTCCCGAACAATGACAATTGAAGGGAAAAGAGGTTGGGAAAAAAAAAAAAAAAAAAAAAAAAAGGAAAACGTACATTGTAGTAAGTTTGTACTACAGAACCCATTTGTGTTTTCCTCCTGATATTGCCCTGAACGAATGTTGATTCTACTACTGGACGCTGTTCGGAGCAAGCCCCCAAGGAGCATTGAGTCAGGAAGCTGGCCCGCTGCATGTAAAACCCGGAGCAGAAGCACCAGTATGCCCCCCCGATATTTTGTTCCAACATGGCAGTTCACATGCTGGGTCCTTTAGGGACAAGACAAGAACCAGTTTCGCAGGCCTTCAGAAAAAAAGCCACCAGGCCCAACTAGTAACACCTTCACTGAGAGGTTGGGCGTTAAGTGGACCTCCTCACATAAGGGACCTACTGGTCGTACGGAGGGGGGAAGAACTTCCACCTTCCGCACAGCATGCAGGTCCCTACAATCATATCCACGAGAAGGAAAGGTACTGCTCCAAGGAAACTGAGTAGTGGCGCAGCAATTGCTCTTCTCGCCCGCGGCTCCATGGCCGATGGGGCTTTCGACCGAGTCTCTGCTGCCTCTGCTCAGCGCGTGCGACACCTGTAAGGGTGTGCGAGAGAGAGAGAGAGAGAGAGAGAGAGAGAGAGAGAGAGAGAGAGAGAGAGAGAGAGAGAGAGAGAG